TTGCTAGAGATGTTGAACATTTTCTCATATATTTGTTGATTGATTGTATATCATCTTCTGAGAAGTGTCTGTTCAATCCGTGGCCCATTTATTGATTGGGTTATTTGTTTTTGGTGTTAAGATTTTGAGTTATTTATATATCCTAGAGATTAGTGCTCTATCTGATGGAGATCTGGGCCAACTTTTTCTTCTATTAGATGCAGTGTCTCTGGTTTGGTTCCCAGGTCCTTAATCCACTTTGAGTTAAGTTTTTTACATGGTGAGAGGGGTTTAATTTCATTTTGTTGTGTATGGGTTTCCAGTGTTCCTGGCACTATTTGTTGAAGAGGCTATCTTTTCTCCAATGTAAGTTTTTTGGTGCTTTTGTCTAATACAAGATAACTGTAATTATGTGGGTTAGTCTCTGTGTCTTCTATTCTGTACTATTGGCCTTCCAATCTATTTTGATGCCAATACCATGCTGTTTTTGTTACTATTCCTCTGTAGTATAGTTTAAGGTCTGGTATAGTGATGTCACCTGCTTCACTCTTCTTGCTAAGGATTGCTTTAGTTATTCTGAGTCTCTTATATTCCAGATGAATTTCATGGCTGCTTTTTCTATTTTTATGAGGAATGTCATTGGGATTTTGATTGGAATTGCATTAAATTTGTACAGTGCTTTTGGTAGTATGGTTATATTGCCTATCCAAGAACAAGGGATTTCTTTCCATCTTCTAAGGTCTTCTTTAATTTCTGCCTTTAGCATTCTGCAGTTTTCATGTTTGTTGATTCCCAAGGGTTTTTTGGTTTTTTTTTTTTTTTGAGGCTATTGTAAATGGGGTAGTTTTCCTTTCAGAGGAATTATCATTGATACTTAGCATTATATTCTAATATAAAATAATTTACAACTAACTCATACATTTTGTGTGTTTGTGTGTGTGTTTAGATACACACATGAAGGCAAAAATTTACCTAAATTATCTACTGCTATATACACAATTCCTGGAAGTGTACTTGGAACATAACGGACATTCAAGGATTCTTTATTGAATAGTTTTGAATGTTTAGGGTGACATTGTATCTTACTTCTCTTTTTTCTAAATCCCAGGATGACAATGTTATTTATATAATCAATAATTTCAAAACCACATTTTTTTGCAGGCCATCTCCATGGATAACTCTGTATAATAATTTCTATTTTTTTTTTTTTGGCAGATTGGCCATGCAGAAGCTGGGAACACAAGTATTTGAGGAGGTCTACAATTACCTCAAGAGAGCAAGGCATCAGAATGCCAGTGAAACAGAGATCCGCGAGTGTCTCGAAAAAGTGGTCCCTCGGGCCAGTGACTGCTTTGAAGTTGACCAGCTTCTCTACTTTGAGGAACAGTTACTGACCACAATGAGGAAAGAACCCACTCTCCAGGACCCTCACTAAGGAACCATGACAAACAAGCAGAAGTTCAAGTAGACAGATTTCTGTGAAAATCCATGAACTCTATAAGCTGGACTTTATTATGGGAAATGAGCACATAACTGGAGCTCCCATCTTTAACTTCCATTCTTTAATGACTCGTTTAGGAGTAGTGAGCATGGCTGCCTGTTCTTGGAGTCATAGGCCATATATGTTGTTTGATTTCTGTCCTGAGATAAGCTTACAGATCAGTCTTGGCATCCTGTAAAGGATTTCCCTCATGCGTGCCTCAAGGCTCCCAATAGGGTTGGATTGTCCCAATGATGGCTGAGGAGAAGCCAGCTGCTCTTTGCCATCTCTAGTTGGAGGACAGAGCTCAGGCCTGGCTCCCTTTAGTCTCAATGAACTGTGACCAGCTTGCTTGGGAGAGCTGTTGGAACTGGCCTCTCTGACAAGCTGGGCTGCCAAGGAGTCAGACTGGCCTTTCTCTCCCCAGTTATTATTTTTTATTATTTACTGTTGCTTGATTTTATATATATCTCACCTTCCTTTTCACCTTTTTTTCTCCTGATACTGGTGATTCTAGCCTTCTTGCTATTTCCCCAACATGTTTTAGCTTTGGGGCCCAAATTCCCTTACCCCTGTATTTCCCTTTTTTTACGAGGGTCTCTTCTCAGATGACAGCTCCTCAGAAAGTTTTCTTTGCTCTTCCACCTTGTTTTCTCTTCATTTTGCTGAGCACCTGTTTTTGGTCCATGTTTCCCTTACATGACCAGCAAGCAAGATGTACATGAATACAAAAACCTGGATTAAAATACAAAAAGCAATTCCCTTCTGGGATTTATTCCCCAGACTCACCTGTGGAGAACTGAAGATTTCTATTCATAATAAATATATATTTCATTGTTACAAAGTCACCTATTTTATCTTTTCCTTATGTAAAAGTATCTTGTTAAATGTGACACTACTTTCAAATAATAGTTATTACTTAGTAGAAAGGAGAAAAGAAAACACATATGGGCTTTTTTTGGTGGGTGGTGGGAACTGGGGATTGAACTCAGGGGCACTCGACCACTGGACCACATCCCCAGTCCTATTTTGTATTTTATTTAGAGACAGGGTCTCACTGAGTTGCTGAACACTTCACCACTGATGAGGCTGGCTTTGAACTCGAAATCCTCCTGCCTCAGCCTCCTGAGCTGCTGGGATTATTGGTGCAAGCCACCAAAGGTGTTAATAGGAAAAGAGACCTCACCCCAAGAAGAGCACTCGGGAGCCTCTTTGGCATTTTATGACCAAATGGATTGCAGGTAGGTCTTGAACAAGGGAGACAACAGTAGAATTTAAGTTAATAAAAAGTTTCTGAGTTTTTCTGCTGATGGTTTTTACAACATTAGAACAGAAGAAGGCTTGTACAAGTTGCTGGGTCTGACAAGGAAATTATCAGAAATTTCAGTCTCTACCATCTTCCACAAACAGATTAACATGCTCAGATAATAATGTTCTGCATTTTAAAATCTATTTCTAAGGAGACAGGTACAAACAAAATATCTTACCCTTCAGAGATTTGTGTTGTATACCACAACACATCAGGCTTATAAGAAAAGAGAGCTGGGGAAATATCATTCAGGATAATAATTTCTCATAAGAGAAGCTTACTTAAGTTTATCCTTCCTTTGGTTTACTGAAATGGGAGTTGAGAGCAAAACTTAACATGACTTGAAGAAAATATCTCCTTATCATTACTACTGGGAAAATTCTTTCTCTTTTAGCTATACCCAGTCTTAATTTGGGGCCACTTCAATGTGGGAATTAATAACTAAATCAAAGAAATAGGAAGTTGCTTAGCATGAAACAGATAAAGGTATCAGGGGATAGCCTTGCTGCTTTATTAAAGAAAATGCACGCGCGAGCACACACATACTTTTCACAAACTCCAATTGACCTTTCTGCTTTCTGTTTATGCAGAGGAAATGCCACTAGCTATTTTGGGTGATGCAGAGATAAAGGGGAGTGATAGAAGTTAATTATTTAATGTCTTCAGGGCTGAGGCTGGAGCAAAAGCTCTAGGTGTATTATAAAGGAGTCCAGCCATCACTGTGGGTTCAGGATAAAGGAAGCAGACAAATTGAGCAGTAGCTCAAGGGGGATGGTGGCAGGGGACACAAAACAGTCTTTTAAGGTGATGGGAAGGCTAATGGGTTAAAAGAGAATGGGGCCAGGCCACTAAGATGGTAAAGGAGCTGTAGTGAGACAACAAGGAGGAGAGAGGGGTGTGTGTGTAAGAGAGAATGGGGGACAGGGCTGGGGTGGACACGGAGTAAAGAATGTTCTCAAATAATTCTGCCACAACCTGTGTGATGGGGGAAAATTGAATTCTTTTGAAGACTTGGATTCTAGACTTACTCTTGCCATTACCGTGTGATCTAGAGCAAGTCACTTCCTCTCCACCTGTTTCCTGCCTATGTCTAAACATTGCTGTAGAGAATCAAAATAGTGTAATGGGTTAAATCAAGTGAAATTGTCATTGTGGTTCAGCCTATTATGTAGAAGTGCTTCAAAGGCTATAAAAAGTCCTCATCTTTGGAAGAGGAATCTTTCACTTTATTTTTAGGCTGCCTGATCTTCCATCATTCGTGTTTTACCCCTGAATGTTTCCTTAGGCTTCTAACATCCTGCTATTATCATACAAATGCACCCCCCCCACGAGAAATAATAATAATCACTTTGACATTTTCAGCTGGCACTTGAGGAGCTGGGAACCAACAAAGCAGTGAGAAAATCTCGCAGAGAGCAGCTCAGAAAAGGCACACACACATTGCATCGGTCTCGGAGGTTGAGGACGTGTCTTCAGACGTAGGCCTGTCAGCCTATGGATTGAGCTACGCTCACCTGTTCCTTTGTGATAGTACCCCTTGCCCTGTTTGGGATAGAATGTTCCATGGAAACACTTTGTGTGTCCCTTTCTCTTGCTCTGCCTTTGGGTGTGGCCTTCCTAGATGTCAGTCAATGGGCTGACAGTGAACATCATGAAGCTAGACTCAGCCCCCTGAAACCTGACCCCTTGCCTCATTTGAATGGCCTCTCCTCAATAAAAGGGCACAGCACAAGCTCTCTTGCTCTTTCTGCAGTCCCTTCCTTAAGGTCAGAGGAGCCATCACAGGACCCCAAAGAAAAAGGTATCTCTGTCTCTTGTGTGGTTATGTCATGCAGCCTAGTTCCCCTGGGGTGACCCTGAGTGTTTTAGTCGTGAGGAACGGGACATCTCCCCACCCTGCCTATGGAACTTCAAAGTAATCATCACCAGACCCCAGGATTCCCAGTTCTTTTCTAATTTTATCAGGAAGTTTATAAATTTGGTTCAAGAAATATACATTATAAAATAAGGTCTTCACAAATATTCCCTAGAAGTACCATAATCAGGGTTTGAATGTCCCCACCCAGACTCAGGTTGAAATTGGTGAGGTAATGAGAGGTGGCACCAGGAGTGACCTTTAAGAGGCGATGACATCAGGAGGTCTCTACCCTCACAGAGGATCCATTAATGAAGTCATGGGTTAATGGGCTATGGTTTTTCTCCAGAGTGGGTGTGTTATAAAAATCAGTTTGGCTTTATCTCTTTTAGGCAGCCTTCTCACTATGTGATGCCCTAGGCCACCTCAGGTCTCTGCAGAGTCCCTCACCAGGTGTGGCTCCTTGATCTTGGACCTCCCAGCCTCTAGAACCATGATCTGAATAGAACTTTATTTTTTTTTTTGTAAAATTAACCAGTCTGTGGGGTTCACTTACAGCATCAGAAAACAGACTGAGACATCCAGAATTGAAAACCTGACTCCAACAGGAATATTGTCAAAGTAAATTTGTAGGTCTACTACAGGAGGCAGTCTTTCTATAGCTAGAAACATGTTTGTCTTTCCAAAATACTGTGAATTTTCCTGCTTCAGGAGCTTGAATTTTCCAGCTCAATTCTTCTCTCCCTATACCCTTGACTGTTGTCACTTTTGTAGTTTTCAATATTTTCCCAACTACTTCACTCTTGAGTTTGGTTGTGGAACTTGTCTTGGCTGAGTGATGTACTCAGGGCTGGAAATGTGTTGGTGCAGTTGGCTCTGTTCACCTGCACATCTGTCATCACCATTTAGCCCCCAGATTAGAGGACGATGATAAAAGACTTAGAGCAGAGAGCTCTGGAGGTAACCCACAGAATGATGCAACGTCACCCCAGCCAATATGGAATAGAGCAAAAGTCACTTTGGGCAATCTGGAAACTTCTGAGCAAGAAACCAGTGTTTATTATTGTATGCTGTTCAGGTTTTATGGCTGTTTGTTATACAGCAATATTATGGCAACAAGCTAACCAATGTCTTCCCTTTCCCAACATGATTTTCTGGAACACCAAATCCTCAAGTTTTGTGCTTTTTGGCATTAATTTTTGTTGATCTGGGGAAAGTTTTATGACCAGTTTTATGACTATGACTTCTTAGAAATAGGGATATCCCTTTTCAAAACAGCCCAGGTGAACCATGCATGCTCTCTTTTCTGGCTTTCAATGTGTTTCAAGGCAACACTCACTAGGAGCATGGAGCCTACCTGGACCATCTTTTCTGAAGCTATGGTCTAATTCTTCTTTAGATTTCCGCTTAACATGTACTGAGTTCTCATCTTATATCAGGATCTAAATTTAGGCTCACAATTTTGAGTGATAAGAATTTACCAAGCAAATAATTGGAAAAGATCTTATGAGCATAAGGAACACAAGAATGAAGAACATAGCCATGTGGGATTCTAGGAACTTGGAATCATTTGGTGCTTGTGGCACATAAAGTGTGATTAAGATTTAGAGAGGAAGAGGTGGTAGCCAGCCTCCAAGATGGCCCTCGTGATCCTCATTTCTGATATTCATACCCCACATAGATCCCTATCACACTGCATCAGGTAACCTGTGTGACCAATAGAACACTGTACAAATGGTGGTGTATGACTTCTGAGACTAAGTCATAAAAGGCAGATTCCATCTTGTTTTCTTTAGGATCACTCACTCTGGAGGAAGCCAGCCACCATGTTGGCAGGACATTCAAGCCACCTTATGGAGAGAGCCACGTGGTGTGAAACTGAGGCCTTTTGCCAATATCTGGCACCAACATACCAGCAATGTCAAGGAACTATAGGAAGAAAATCCCCAGCCCTAGTCAAGCTTCTATTGACTGAGTCCCTCACTGACATCTGGACTAAAACCTCATGAGAAATCCTGAGGCAGAACCATTCAGATAAACCATTCCTTAATTCTTACCCACAGACACTGAAATAATGCTGTGTCATCACTACAAAGTTTTTGCAATAGATCACCTCACAGAAGGTAAAGCTCTACTGTGAGCTGTTGAGTCTGCTGTGCTGTGCCCTGTAGTCAGGGACAGACAGGAGATACTGATGTATTGAGATACTGACTTCTGGCTGAATCATGGCACCCTGTGGAGGATGGGTTTGAAGAAGGTGAGAATGGAGAAAGGTGGGTGGTAAGAGGTGTAGTCCAAGTGAGAAAAGATGAAGACCTGACCTGCATCTGATGAAGTCAAGGTATTCTGAGATGAGAGGGAAATGAGACAACCCAGAACTGACTAGATGGGGAAAGGAGGTAGAGGAGTTATCGTGGAGGATCCTAGATTTCTAGCAAGGGGACTGGATGGGGGATCCAGAGCTGGTGATATGGCTAAATGCAGACTAGAGGATGGGAGGAATGCTGAGTTTGTTCCTGGGTGTATCAGGTTGGAGGTACTTCTGGGATATTTGAGTGAAAAGGTACAGACCTGACACTGGAAGTGTCTTTAAAAGTTAGCTCTTATGATGAAGTGAATCTACTGAATGATGCTAGACATTATACCAAAAGATATTTTTGAGGCTGTACACACCAATATTCAAAAACAGAGCGGGCTCCTAAAGAATGCCATCTCCTTTGAGTCTGCTAGATGTGATTCCAGGTTTGTGAATATCTAAAAATAGTAATATCATCTAACCTTTTTCAGGAAGTCTATTAGATAAACTCCAACTGGCTCTAGCTGTTGGTACCTCTTTCCCCTTACCCCATTATACATTTTTTCTAAATCAGAGGTTCAACCTTGGCTCCATATTTGAAGCAATGGAAACTCTCACAAGGATTGAACAGAACAGGTTAAAATTACTGGGCAGATGGTAGATGTTTGTTGCTAAGTACCACTTTTATTATAATTATTAACACATACTTACAAATATTTACAAACCAATAGAATTCACTGTGATATTTTTACACTTGCATATATGGTGTATTGAACATGTTCATTCACCCTTCTTCTAACCCCAACTCCCTGTAGTTTTCTTAATGCCCAAAAAGTGAGACTAGATCCTTACCTCTTTCCCTCTCCTAAATGAAAAGGGAACTTGTCAGTGAAAAGGTTTTGTGAAATGCAAAGCTTTATTCAAATGTAAATTGTAACCTTTACCTTTAACTCCATGAGAAGCCAAAGATATTTTTGTTTTTAACTTTTTACTATGGAAAATATTCAACTATATAAAAGAATAACATAACAAAGCTGTTAAACCCAACACCCAATGTAAAAATTATGAATTCATGGCCACAGTTATTTTTTATACCCATGGCATCTACCCGCCTCACTGGATTTTTTAATACCATTATTTATATTTCTGCATAATCTCTAAAAGTTAAATAACCCTTAAAAGCATGGCCATAATACTGTTATAATACCCCCAAATAATTAATAATAATTCTTTACACCAAATATCCTACTGTGTAACCTTTTCTAAATTTGTTTGTTCAAATTAGAATTTTAAAATGGTCCAATTACTTGTATTCATGTCTTCTGAATGAATCTCTTTTAATGTATGGGGTCTACCTCCGTGTCTCTTTTCCATTGATAATTCATTTATTTAAAAAAAAACAGACCATCTGTCTTGTAAACTTTCCTTAGTCTAGTTTTTATTAACTGTATCTTCCTGATTTTTTAAAAAATATACATTTTATTTTTTAGAAGTCTTATATACTTAGAGAAAAATGGTGAGAATAGTAAAAGAGAATTCCCATACACTCTAGTCAATTTCTTCTATTGACATTTTACATTAGCATGGTCCCTTTCTTATAATAATAAACCAATAATGAGTATACTTCATATATTACAACTAACAAAAGTTCATGCTTCATTCAGATTTCCTTAGTTATTATTTATTGTCCCTTTTCTGTTCCAAAATAATAGGCTATTGTCTTGCAAGAGTTTCTCAGTCATTTCTGAGGAATAGCATGACAACTATAGATGGAATATTTGTATCCCCCAACCCCAAATTCATACATTGAAATCCTACCCCTAATGTGTTGGTATTAGGAAGTGGGACCTTCAAGGGATGAGTAGGTCATGAGAACAGAGTCTTCATGGATAGGGCTAGTGATCTTATAAAAGAGAACCTAGGGAGCTCCCTTTTCCCTTCCCACCTGTGAGGTTTCAGAAAAAAAAAAAAAAAATGGTCTTCTGAGAAGCAAGAACTGGCCCTCACCAGACACTAAATCTGCCAGGCCTTTGATCTTGGACTTCCCAGCCTCCAGAACTATGGGAAATAAACTTCAGTTATTTGTAAGCCATCCAGTCTCTGGTCTCTTTTCCATGGCCCTAACAGTCCAAGATGATAATTGAAGCTTTACTGGTCAAGTATTTCATAAAGTGTCCTTCTACTGAGATTTGTCTGGTGCTTTTTTTATATATGATTAGATCAGGGTTATCTTTTGGGGAGAAAAATGACAGCCCCAAACTATCCTTATATCATTTCATCACATTATATCAAAGGTACAGTTGCCCACCATGACTTACCAGTGTTAGTGTTGACCTTGAACAACTGAGTATAAGGTAGTGTTTATCAAGTTTGATAAAAAGTGACTATTATTCAGCCCCCTGATTCCATCCTGTGCTCTCAGGGAGTCACTCTATTCACAGTGCACACTGGAAGGTAGAGAACTGATGCTACACCTCCTTGACGACAGAGTACCACATATTTTCAATCCTTCTGCATGGAAGATTTTTCTTTTCTCCCATATTTCCTTTTACTTAGCTATTATTGATTTAGGTCAGCATAAAATGGTAGATATATGGTACTTTGGGTTATGATCTAATATTACTTTATTTTGCTACTTAAGTTGTATCAGCTCTAGCCACTGAGATCTCTTTTTTTAGGTTCCTGTGCCTCTCTCACTTGGACATTTGACATGTTTCTACCTATATGCACGCCCTCTTCCTATCCTCCCTTTTCTTCCTGATCCTCCTCCTCCTCTTTCTCTCTCATACTTCTAGCATAACCAGGTGCTCCAAGCACAGTATCTATTCCTCATGTATATTTCCTGCCAAACACTAGAACCAGCCATTTCTCTTGTATTTTTTTTTTTGAAAAATAATGTTAGAAGCCAAGATCAGGGCAAAAAGTAAGCTTCTTGTTACTGTGCTATCATTGCTTCTAGACCCTCTCAAATGACAGAGCACAGAATTATAAGTGTGTACACTAGCCCCTGTATAAACTCAGATCTGTAAATAATACGTAGACATCTGTATCTAAACATTAGTTCATATTAATGTCTCTAATTCTAATTCACTATGGCATGGATCATGCTGGTCTCTTCCTGATATTTTACAATGATGTTCCTTTGTAGTTCTTATATGTTGGTGGTTGTTAGATTGAGATTCAACTTTAACTTTTTATCAAGAATATTTCATAGGAGGTGGTGTGTTCTTCCATCAAGAGGTAAACAATAACTATACTGTTTATAACCATTGCTGATAATTACTTAGGATGCATTAATTTTTTAAGTTTAATATTTTTTATTAGCTTTCTCCTTATTTGATTAGCTGCAATGTTTTCATAAAAGAAATTTTCCCTCTTATACTATTTACTAGCCCTGAGGTAAAACCCATATTTTAAAGAGAATAAAAATGCTTAATTCCTTTCTTTAATTTTTTTTAAATAATTAATTGGCTTTGTAGAATCTCCAAGGATGACCACAGAGTGTTTTTGTCTCTTTGAACCACTGTAATCTTAAAACAGCTTTTTAGCACAGGACTTAACCTCTAACTCTAGTCCTGACTACAGGGCAATATGTCTGAGCATGGCAGAATATGGGTTAGGGACAGGGACAAGATTGGCAAAAGCAGAAAGCAATCTGAAAGCATGATAAGATTGGGGGGATCTTGGATGCCTCCAAATTCAATTAATCCTAAAAAAAAACTCTTGTCTCCAAAGTCACTGAAGAGTCAATGATCTGGAAAGGGCAGGTTTGACCCTATATTATATTTTAAAAAAAAAAAGTCATCCAGGAGAAAGCAAGCAACCTTGGAGTGATAGTGGCAGGGAGATGACAATGGTTCTCTGTCTCTGTCATTTTTTTTTAACTATTCACTTGAAACAAATTTGAAAAAATTAACCATGTCCCAGCAACAACCCCATGGATTCTGGTAGGACCTTGGAAGTTCTTAAAACCATTTTTGCAAGGTGACTCTATGTTTAACCAGGAGCTCCATTCCCCTAGAACTCTTAGTGGGATGACTGTACCACACCTAGGGCCTCATCATCTCCATCCAATTGCCTGATGTTAGATGTTGACATGTTACTCAGAAGACCAAGCTGGGAAAGATGATACCAAGAACAGCTCATCCCCCTTAGCAGAGCTGAGGGATAAAGATTGCAGCTGAGCTCCAAACCTGGGTCTTTAACCTAAGACAAGCACTGTGCCCTCATCCTCCACTCCAAGAATGGCTACATTCACTTTGTGTCTGGCACAAAGTTCAGAGTGCTTTTCATCACTTGGAATCCTAAAAGGTGGGTATCATCTCCATGTAACAGCTGAGCAGCCAGGGACCTGAGAGAGTTAAGTGACTGCTAAGTCACAAGCCTGATTCTGGGAGAGCTCTGGGCTCACCATGGGCTGTCACTTCCTGGCTGTGACTTTATGCCCAGGGCCCTCTCAAGGAGCTGCCTCCTCATTCCCTTGGTGTAATAAACTTAGACTTTGGGCATCGGGCAATCTTCAGGGTGAAGACTTAGCTGGGGTGCCGGAATGGGAATCCTCCATCAGCAGCAGCATGCCTGGAGAGGCCCCTTCCCTGTGGCAGGGTAAGCCTCCTGTCTCTCGCCCTCTCTCACTGCTCAAAGGTCTGAGGGTGCTGTGGGTAAAATCCAGGAAGCTTAGGGGGCTTCTTGTACCTCAGACCACTCCCACATCTCTTCCATGGCCATGGGTCTCACCCACAGCACCTTCTTTCACCTCCCTTCCCCAGAAAAAAATCTCTTCGGATCCTGTGACTTTTCCATCAGACTCTCCACCCCCATCACTGCCCAGTGCCTGCTGCCTCTGATCCCTGACCACCTCCTTCCTACCATCCCATCTCAAAAAAATACCAGCCCTATTCACCCAGGCCAGAAACTGTAGCCTGAAGCTAGCCTAACTCTCCCCCAATTTTCTTTCACCCCTTCTCCAGCCAAGGTAGTTCTCACACCCATCACTCCTCTCCATTCCCGTTGCCACAGAAGGAAGCCAGCCTTGCTTCATTTCATTCACAAACCAATCCAAGCCCCCTGCTTCGGGGTTCCATCCAGACCAAACCTGAGGTAGTTCTCTCAACATTCTAGTTCCTCAGCTCTCAGGACTCCTCAATAATTAACATCCTGCTCAGACTACAAAACCTGTGTCTCCCAGCTCTCCAGACCTCCCTGGGACTGTGTCATACAGACTATGACCTAAGCATCCACCTGCTGAGCTCTAAACTCAGAGCACCACGCCACACCTTTAGCCCCGCCCTGACTAAGGCCCCAATCCCAAGGAAGCTTTCAATTTCCCAAGGGTCTCATGGCCCTCCTAATCCTCCTGTCCTGAGAACCCCGTCCTGATTGGCTGCCTACCAATCCAATCACTACGCCCCGGGCCCCAGGACTCCTGGGTCCAGCCCGTGCGCCCCACGGAGATCGGCCCTAACAGCCCCGCCCAGACCCGAAGGGGTCCTAGGGGAAGCTTGCCCGCCTGGACACCTGGGCCAACAGCAAAACCCAAGGAATTCTAGGGTCATGGCCCGATTCCAAAAGGTGGAACTGGCCGAGGCCCTGGAGTTGGGTCCCAACTGGAGACACTTCTGTTACGTGCTGCTCTACGCACCCAACCCGGGGACGCTCTTCGACCGCATCCCGCTGCGGTACGCCGTGCTGGTGAGGAGGGGGCGCGCCTGGCCACTCCCTGCTCCAACTCTGCAGCGCCTTTTCAGTGTCGCAGCCAACCCCACTTCCCCTCCCTCAGATGCTGATGCGGTTCGATGGACGCCTGGGCTTCCCAGGAGGCTTTATGGAAATGCAGGACAGCAGCCTGGAGGACGGGCTGAACCGAGAATTGCAGGAAAAGTTGGGAGAGGCGGCGTCTGCCTTCCGCGTGGAGCGCACAGATCACCGAAGCTCACGCGCCGGGACAAAACCAAATATAGTGGCCCACTTCTACACCAAGCTTCTGACCCTAGAGCAGCTGGAGGCTTTGGAAGCTAGCGCACCACGAGCCAAAGAACATGGGCTGGAGGTGGGGCCAGCCTGGGTGCTGCCCCACATCCCATCTGCCTCTCTCTCTCTTTCCCTGTGGGTTCCCAGCCAAAAAGGAAACCTCCAACCAAACCATACACTCCTCCCCAGTTTCCAGGAATAGTTGGGATTTTGTATATCTCTAATCTGGATAGTACTGAGTACTGCCAACCTGGTCTCCCTTCCCCATCTACTGGCCTCTGCCAACCAGGTTTCTCTGCTGTTCCTTATTGATAATGTGATAACGATCAGTGGAGACACTCTAAGCACTTATCTTTGGGCCCTTATTTTTCATAGGTAGAAAATATAGCCCTGATGCTCAAGGCTAGGGCAGTAGGGAGATAGAGGTAGGTTCTCAAATGGTGGCGTGTATCAGAATCAAGAGGAGGAAAACTTATTAAAACAGCGATTACTGTGCTCACTTTGGCAGTACATATATTAAAACAGTATTATGTATCCCCAACTGCTGGTGAGAGGTGGGGCTGGAGAAAGTCTGGAGAATTTGCATTTTTTACTAGGACCAAAGTAATGCTAAAACAGCTGCTGTAGGTTCTACATTCAAGAACCTCTGGTCCCTAGAGGTTCTAGAACCGTGTCTGAATCCCAGAGAGTCACTAAATTTTTCAGGGAGAGAGGTAGGAAAAATGAGTAGCATTTATGGACCTAGAGACCACGTCTTGGGTTAGGTGCCTGCTCGGGGTTGGACCCAGTCTGCTTCACTGAGGATTGAGCCTTGGGGCTGGTTCTGCCTGGTGTTAAGGGAGGTAAGACCTCTGCTCTAGAGAGATATGTTGCAGAGGGTTGAGGTAACATGACAAGCTAGGTGGGGTCCAAATGTCTCCTGTCTCCTTGTTTTCACAGGTTCTGGGCCTTGTGCGGGTGCCTTTGTATACCCTACAGGATGGTGTGGGAGGCCTGACTGCCTTCCTGGAGAATTCCTTTATTGGCAATGCCCGGGAGGAGCTACTAGAAGCCCTCCGTGACTTACAAATTCTGGAACCTGGCTCTTTCTCAAACCTTAAGATCCCAGCTCATCACCTTCCAAGGACCCATGGAACCTGAGACTAGGACCTTGGTACTAGGAATGGAGGGATGAAGGGACAGGGGAATGTTTTCTCTTCTGAGCCTGAGAGATAATACCAGATTAAAAAGACATGTGTAGGCGATGAGTTTCGTGCAGAGGGCCTTCCAAACTCAGGACATCAGGGACAGAAGTTCACAGCTCATCCCAGCAATCCTGGCAGATTCTCAGGGTCTGCCTCCTCTTTGTGCATGTGCATACACAGCCTGAAAACCCCAGGCTTGCACAGGAACAACCTGTGACCACACACAGTCTGACCCCTTTGTCCCATCATGTCTAGGCTAACCAGGAAGTGGCATCTGTGGGGCCTGCCTTGTCATCCTCCCTGCTCCTTCCTGAGGCGGGGCTTTCCCATCTCCTGCATGGCTGCTCTCCATGGGCTAGCCCAGCTTTCGTTCACCGGGGAGGGCAGAGGCAGAGGACCCTCTGCTCCCTGAGATGCTCCCACCCTTCCCTGGGGGTTGATTCCATAGTTGTGGGCTCCTGAAAGTAGGCAGAGGTCCTAATGGATACCTCACAGTTTTCTTCCTTGAAACTAAGCATAAGGGCTAAGATAGTGTCAAGGTCTTCTTGGGCTGACCTTGAGGCTAAGCCTCAGTCCTGGTGCCTGGTCTTTTAGCTACCTTAGTTTCTGAGGAAGGAATTGATCCAGCCCCTTATTAGCCCTCCCCTGACAAAAACCCTCCCAGAACTGATAATTGAACATTAAGGCCTTCTGTTGTTTCAACAGTTATGTAGCTACTAAATGCCAAGTATAGCAAAAGGTACAGAAATCCATTGCTCTAGCTCTTCAAGACTCCAGAACAGAGTCGATTTTTTTCTTTTTTCTTTTATTTTGGGGGATACGGGGGATTGAACTCAGAGGCATTCAACCACTAAGCCACATGCCAGCCCTATTTTGTATTTTATTTAGGGACAGGGTCTTACTGAGTTGCTTAGCACCTTGTCATTGCTGAGTTTGGCTTTGAACTAGCAATCCTCCTGTCCTAGCCTCCTGAGCCACTGGGATTATAGGCATATGCCACCCCGCCCAGCCAAAGTCTTTTTTCTTAATCACATACAACATATATTGTATATCACATACAACAAGTCATTTTAAAAGTATGTGTACATTGTGGATTGGCTAAAGGGAGCTAATGAACACCTGCATTACCTCATATACTGGTCATTTCTTTGTGTGGTAAGAATTCTTAAAATGTACTCAGCAATTTTGAAGAACACACTGCCTTGTTTATTAACTATGCTGTCAGGATGTTGTGAATCTACCCCTTAAATTTATTACTTGTAAATTAAATTTTTTATCCTTTGACCAAGAACTCTCCAGTCCACCCCAGTCCCTGGTAACCAGAATTCTGTTCTCTTGAGTTTCATTTTTTTAGATAGCTCATATAAGAGAGAACATGTGGTACTTTCCACATCTTGACTCTTGTGAACAATGCTACAATGAACTTGGGAAAGCAAAAATCTCTTCCACATACTGATTTTCTTTCCTTTGAATATATATGTAGCAGTGGGATTGTTGGTAAGTTTATTTTTAATCTTTTTAGGAATCTCCATACCGTCTTCCATAATGACTGTACCAATTTACATTCCCACCAATGGTGTTCAAGGGTTCTCTCTTCTCCACTCTTGTCTTTTGACTTTTCCATAATAACCATTCTAACAGGTATGAGATTGTGGCTCATTATGATTTTAAATTATATTTCCCTGATAATTAGTGATGTTTAGTATTTTTTCCTATACACTTTGGCCATTTGTATGTCTTCTCCTGAGAAATGTCTGATAGGCTCTTTGTCCAATTTTTAATCAAGCTGTTACCTTGCTATTGAGTTTGGTTCTTTGTGCATTTTGGATATTAATTCTCTATCAGATGTTTGGTTTACAAATATTTTTACCATTCTGTAGAATATCCATTCACCATTTATTGTTTACTATACAGAAACTTTTTTGTTCGATACAATTCTATTTCTCTATTTTTGCCTTTGTTGCTTGTAATGTTTAGGCCATATTAAAAAAAATAATTACTGGAGCTTTCCTCCTTTATTTTCTCCCAGTAGTTTTATAGTTTTATTCCATGTTTACATCTATAATCCATTTTGGGTTTGTTTTTAATTTGGTGTGAGATAAAAGATATAATTTTATTCTTTTTGTTGTTGTTGTTTGGGGGGGATACCCAGGATTGACCTCAGGGGCACTCAACCATAAGCCACATCCCTAGCCCTTTTTTTGTATTTTTATTTATAGACAGGGTCTCACTGAGCTGCTTAGCACCTTGGCTTTGCTGAGGCTGGCTTTGAACTCATGATCGTCCTGCCTCAGCCTCCTGAACTACGGGGACATATTTGCATGTGGTTATGCAGTTGTCCCAACATCATTTATTGAAGAGTCTTCTTTCCCTTTTTGTGTGTTATTTGCATCTTGTTGCAAATCATTTGACTGTAAATGAATGGATTTGCTTCCGGGTTCTCCATTCTGCTCTGTTGATCCATCCACACACGTTTCTGCCAATTCCATGTTGTTTCGATTACTGTCACTTTGTGGTATGTTTTTAAGTCAACTGTTGTGATATCTCCCACTTTACTTGTTTGCTCAAGATTGCTTTGACTATTCAGGATCTTTTGTGGTTCCATACACATTTTAGAATTGTCTTAGTTCTGTGAAATGTCATTGGAATTTTGATAGGGATTACATTGAATCTGTAGATCATTTTCAGCATATGAACATTTAATGATATTGATTCTTCCAATCTGTGATCCTGAGATCTCTTTCCATTTATTCATGTCAGCTTCAATTACAATCATCAGTATTTTTTAGTTTTGATGTACAGGTCTTTCTACCTCCTTGGTTAAATTTACTCCTAAATATTTTCAGTTTGTAATTATTGTAAATGGGATTTTTCTCTTTGTTTCTTTTTCAGATAGTTTGTCATCAGTGCATAGGAATGCTATTTATTTTTGTTAACTTTGTATCAACAAATTTACTGAACTTTTTAAACCACTGTTTTGCCTTATTTTTAGAGAGCTTTATTTTTATTTTTTCTTTAAATTTTTATTTGTTATTTTTAGGTATACATGACAATAGAATGTATTTTGACTTTATATATATATATATATATAAAACTCATTCTAGTTAGAATCCCATTCTTAAAGTTGTACATGATGTGGGTACTGATCATGTATTCATATATGAAAATAAGAAAGTTATATTTGATTCATTCTACTGTCTTTCTTATTTCAATCCCTCCTCCCTTCTCTTCATTCCCCTTTGTCTAATCTAATGAACTTCTATTTTATTTCTTTAATGTAGTGTGAAGATCAAATGTGGTTAATCCAGTTCCCCACACATGCTAGGCAAGCATTCTACCACTGAGCCACAACCCCAGCCCCTGAATTTTTTTTTATTAGTCTGTAGGAACTATAAGATATAAAATAATGTGACCTCAAACAAGGACAGTTTAACTTCTTCCTGTCCAATTTGAGTACCTTTAATTTCTTTCTCTTGCCTATTTTCTCTGGATAGTGCTTCCAATGTTATGTTAAATGGCCATTCTTATTTTGTTTCAGATACTAGAGGAAAAGCTTTCAGTTTTCACTGTTGGGTATGATATTAGCTGTCTATTGCTTATATATGGCCTTTACTGTGTTGACGTACAGTTTTTCCAACCCTAATTTGTTGAAAGTTTCTACCTCTAAAACTTGTTGAATTTTGTCAATTTTTTTCCCTGCAATTATTGGGATAATTTTCCCCTTTTATTCTGATAACATGGTATATCACATTTATTGATTTGTACATCTTTAAACATCATTGCATCCTTGGAATAAATCTTGCTTGGTCATGGTGAACAATCCTTTTTATATGCTGTTAAATTCAATTTGCTATCATTTTATTGAGGATTTTTGCATCTGTGTTCATCAGGGATATTGGTCTATAGTTTTTTATACTGTCCTTGTCTGGCTTTGGTATCAGGGTCTTGATGTCCTTAAAAAATTAATCTGGGGGCTGGGGTTGTGTAGCAGAGTGGTTAACTACCATGTGCAAGGCACTGGGTTCGATTCTCAGCACCACATATAAATGAATAAAACAAATGTCCTTCAACAACTAAAAAAATTAATCTGGAAGTATTTATTCTTTGATTATTTTTGGAAGAGTTTTGGATGAATTTATATTAATTCTTCTTTCAATGTCTGGCAGAATTAGTAGTGAAGCATAAGTTTTTCTTTGGTAAGAAAGAGAAAAACTTTATTACAGATTCAATCTTACTTATTAGTGGTCTGTCAGATTTTTTCTTCATGATTCAGTTTTGGTAAGTTGTATGTGTCTAGAATTTTATCGATTTCTATTCAATTTTTGGCAAACAATTATTCGTTATAGCCTGTTTGGATGTTTTGTATTCCTCGATTATCAGTTCTAATATCTCCTCTTTCACCCCGATTTTATTAATTTGAGTTAATTTCTCTTAATCTAGCTAAAGCTTTGAGTTAATTTCTCTTAATCTAGCTAAAGCTTTGACAATTTATTTTTTTTTTCAAAAACTGACTCAGTGCCATTAATTCTTTTTCTAGCTTTATTTCTTCTCTGATCTGTATTATTTCTTTCCTTATACTAACTTTGACCTTAGTTTGTTCTTTTTCTAGTTCCTGGAGGTTGTTATTGAAGATATTTCTTATTTTTCGATGTAGGCATTTACTCCTATTGACTTACCTCCTAGGTCTGCTTTTGTTGCATCTTATAGATTTTGATACATTTTGTGTTCATTTTGACTTGTTTCAAGATATTTTTAAATTTCCCTTTTAACTTTTTCTTTGACCCATTGGTTGTACAGAAACATGTTTAATTCCAAGGGATCTGTGAATTTTCTGAAACTTGTCCTATTATCAATTTCTAGCTTCATGCCATTGTGGCTAGAAGAAATACTTGATAAGATTTCAGTTTTCTTAAATTTGTTGACTAGTTTGTGGTCTATCATAAGATCTGCCCTGAAGAGTGTTTTGTGTATTTCTTGAGAATAATGTGTATGATGCTGCTACTGGAATGGGATGTTCCATGTATGCCTATTAAGTCCATTTGGCCTAAAGTGTAGTATAA